TGGCCGCTTGTTTACCTTCAAGCTTTTAAGACCCCAGACGCTATCTCTTTTGATAGCCGGGCACCATCAGCTTTCTTCACCACATTTGCTTATTCATATAGGACTTTAATTCTAATGACTAGCATCAAGTCAGAGCAATAGAATATGCTCTTTATTTTCATCAGTAGCAGATACATATCAGACATATTTTAATTCTTTATCTCTAAATAATTTATTTTAATTTTTTTCACAATATATTTTCCACAAATAATGACTACCCAAAAAGAAAAAAAAAACCCACTGTCATTAAGTCAATGCTGACTCATAGTGACCCTATATGACAAAATATAACTTGCCCTGTGAGTTTACAGGAGTAGAAAGCCCCATCTTTCTCCCTTGGACCAGCTGGTGATTCTGAACCAGTGACTTTTTGATTAGCAGCCCAAACATAATCACTCTAACACCAGGGTTCCTTTAATAATGACTATTTGTTAAAATTTAGTCCATGAATCCCTACTTTCATTTAATAAAAAACAGTTTTTAAAACTTATGCAGAATAAAGTGTCAGCATTAAGTGGATACTGAATGTCCATTCTTTCTTTTTTGATAAGCATTTCTAATTGTTTTAGAAAGCCTAGTGATGTATTAGGTTAAATGTTCACCTGCTAACTGGAAGGTTTAAAGTTCAAACCCACCAGCACCTCTCAGGGAGAAAGATGAAGCAGTCTGCTTCTGTCGAGAGTTACAGCCTCAGGATTCTGTGGAGCTACTCTACTTTGTCCCACATGCTGGGATAAGCTGTGATTGGCTCCACAGCATTCTGGTTTATTTTTATTTTTTGTTTTGTTTTTGAGAGGAGGTTTTTTTTTACATTTTTAAGTAAAATGTTATATTGATATTTTACATGTATATGGGAGAACATTTTAAACTGTGGATTTTATTAATAAACACATTAGAATATAAGAACAGTGATTTATTAGAAAGAAAAATTTAAAGCTGAACTGTCTTTGGGTGATTCCACATTAATTTAATTTCAGACTCCACAGTAAAATCAGCTTCTAGGTTCACGCCATTAGACTCTCATTATTGATAAGGCTAAGGCTTAATATTATATAATAAATATAAAGTTCACATATTTGGAGACTAAGGAAAATACATTCAAATTCCCCTTAGTAGAACAGCATGGCTCAATAATTTACCAAAAATAATTTCTAAATGTTTCTAAAGTATCAAATAGCATGACAATGGCACAGGGCAACGAAGCATTTCACAGTATTATTCTTAAGGTCACCATGAGTTGGTGCAACTCTTGGCAACTAAAATCAGCAGCAACAATGATAAGTAATACCACTTCATGGAATATCTAGTGTAAGGTTCACTGAGGTTATATAAACTAGAAATTTCTTTGATTCAAACTTTAAAAGCAAGAATTTTCTGGGTCCAATATTGTAGAAGTTAATAATCACAACTGTTAAAGTATGTACATAATTATAATCACACTGAGTTTTCTCTTTCTATTCTCATTGCACTTGTAGAAGCAATTAGTGTTCACACACCCAAGTGACCCAGGCATCCTCCTCTTCCTTCTTAAACGAAGCTAACTAGTACTGCAAGTTGTGTATATAGAGAATTCTAGTTTTGTGTACTGCAGAAATGTGCTTTTTGTTCCTCCTTTTGGATCTAGTTAAACTCAGAGACTAATTACAAATTTGCTTCTTTTTAATGAAGGTATTTATAACTCCAGAAGTAGCAGCAAAGTTATTTGTTGTGACGTTTTGCACAAAAAAATATATTGAATGCTCATGAATACATTTGAAAACTTGCTGAAGGGACTTGTAGCAGCTAGTAAAAAAATAGGTCCTGGAAATTTCTGAAGCCTTAATCTGTGATCTAAGGTATATATCTAAAATTAAAACATCATGTCATGATCAATATATTTAATCGATTATATTACTAAATATATTATGTCAAAATATAGTAGAAACCTGTAGGAGAAGGCAAACTCAAATATTTCCCATTTTATAGAGAAATTATAAGATTTCACCAAGCCAAAGACAAAAAAGCCAGCAAGGGATGAAACAAGCATGGAGTCCCATTCAGTTCTGGCTCTCATGGGCTGCACTGTAAAAGTACTTGTTCTTTTATTAAAAAATGATGTAACCTATCCGATTTAGAATCTCAAAATTTGATCAGACAAAAGTATGGTAGATGTAAACTAGTGTAAATTATTTAAAAATAATTAAATTCTTACCCTGATTGAAGGGTTTGCCTGGACTCCAAGTGTGGAAATAATCATCCTAAAGGGGAAAATAATATAAATTAGATGTGTTTTACCAGGAAAGTATAAATGTTTATGTAAATTATAAAGTAAAATATGAAATACAGAAGCTGTATACAAACCTCTACTTCCTGCAATGCCAGCAGAAAATTATAAAAATAAAATAAAAAAGAAGAAAAAAAGAATAGTTATCAAAAGAGAACACATTGTTTACATATTATAGTAATGTCTCTCATTAAATGTGTTTCTTTCCTTGCAAAACAATGTTTACTATAGCAATTTAACTATTTTAAATTGCCCCTTCAAAATTATAATTTAATACTTTCAATGGCAATTCAATGTTTAATATAACATGCAGTTAATTATGCTAAGTTAATATGCTATAAAGTATCTTACTCGTTTCCAATTATATAGGTTCATTTCCCACTAGGATAATAGTAATTGGAACCATTAATAAAACAGAGAAAATACCAAATGATTCTGCAATAACCTGTATAGCACGAAAATATTTTATGCAAATAATTAGCATGTTAATTGAATACCTAAAGATTTGATCACTATGCAATTGGGATCTTAAACTGAAGTGCACACATAGTTAAATCCTATCTTACATTTAAATCATCTATATGAAAAAAATTCAAACTAATATATTTACCATACACTTAGTGAATACGGCTACACAAAAAATTTGGTATTATTTAATGCCAAATTTGGCTGTCTATTTTATCTAATGCTTTGATTATTCTAAAAAGCTTCATTTATACCATTTTTTACTGTTGCTATTAATACACCATTTTCTGTAAAGTGGCCTGTCACAACAGTGGCATGCTGCTCCTTGATGTAAGATGTTTGGGTCCATATTCTTAATCACTAACATCCAGTAAGCACAGCAGCCCTGGGTAGGTTTTCTGAGGTAACTCTACAGGAACAGATCGCCTGGTCTTTCTCACATGAAGTGACCGGTGAGTTTGAACTACAGAACTTTTGGATAGAAGTGCAACATTTACCCAATAGTGCCACAAAAGCTTCTTAGTATTAGTTGTAGTGTTATTGTTAGATGCCTCACATCTTGTTGCAACTCATACAGACCCAGTGTACAACAGAATAAATACTGCTCAGTCCTTTGCCATCCCCGCAAGAGTGCTTAGGATTTAGCCTATTGTTGCAGACACTGTATCAATCCATCTTGTTGAAGGTCTTCTTTTTTGGTGACCCATTATTTTATCAAGCATAATGTCCTCCTCCAAGGATTAGTCTCTCTTAACAACATGTCCAAAAGTACACATTACCCTGGCCTCAAAGGAGTATTATGAACGCTTTTCTAGAAAAGATCGGTTAGTTCTGTTGGCAGCTCATGGTATCTTCAACTAACACCACAGAGGCTCCTTCGGTCTTCCTTATTCAATGTTCAACTTTCTGATCCATATGATGTGAATGAAAATATCTGCCTTGGGTCAGGCACACCTTAGTCATCAAAGTAAAATCGTTGATGTTCAACAATGTAAAGAGGTCATGTGCAGCAGATATAACCAATGCTAAGTTTCCTTTTTTTTTCAAACAGATTTATTACCACTTCATCACATGTCATAAAATTCAATAACTCAATCATATCAAGAAGTGTACAATTATCACCGCAGTCGATTCTAGAACATTTTCTTCTGAAATGGGTCCTTAGATCTCTTGACTGCTGCTTACATGATGGTGGATCTAAGCAGGTCAAAATCCTTGACGACTTCCAACTTTTCCCCCATTTATCATGATCCTACCTATTGGTCCAGTTGTGAGGACTTCAGTCTTCTTTCCAATAAATACTAATCTACACTGAAGTCTACAATCCTTGATCTTCATCAGCAAGTGCTTCAAGTCTTCCTCACTTAGAGCAAGCGAGATTTTGTCATATGCATACTGTAGGGTGTTAATAAACTTTCTTCTAATCCTGAGGCCATATTCATGAATTGTATAATCCATATAATCTGTTTATTTGATCAGTGTACAGATTGAATACGTATGGTGAGAGGATACAACCCTGATGAACACCTTTCCTAATTTTAAGCCATGCAGTATTCCCTTGTTCTGTTTTCACAATTGCCCCTTGATCCATGTACAGGTTCGACATGAGCACAATGGAGTCTTTTGTGTTCCCATGTTTTCAAGGCTGTCCATAATTTATTATGGTCCACACAGCCTAATGCCTGAGGATAGCCAATAAAACACAAGTAAACAAAATCCATCTGACATGAGCAATGATACCCCGTGTCCCACATTCTTTTCTGAATTCAGCCTGAATCTCTGGCAGCTCCCTGTCAATGTATAGCTGCAACTTTTGTTGAATGATATTAAGCAAAATTTTAATTGGATGCGATAATAACTATATTATTCTATACTTTGAGCATTCTGTTAGGTCACTGTGGGAATAAAGCTGTTTGTTACTTAAGAAAATGGAACAGGACCACCACCTTTCATGGCTCAAGACCGTGAAAGCATGCTGACAGCTCATCCCAAGGAGCTGATGAAGCAGTGACTGGACTTCCCTTCCACCTGAGATAAAATGGACACTTTTCCTCCTGCTCCCTGGCAAAAGGTGCAGAAAGCAGCCAGCCATCTGCAAACTTATCATTTACTTCATGTTCTGAACCTTGTCCTCCCCTCCTATCTGTGAACTTGTTTGAGATGTTAATGCTCCTTTGTATCCTCTCAAAGAATTGTAAATTGTCCCTTTGTGTACTCCTGGCCCAAGATGCAGGCCAAGTGACAAGAAGGGTATTTAAACCTGCCTCTAACAAATCTTGGTGCCCAGGAGTGTCTAGTGCTTCCGGGTCTCCCATCCTCCAACTATTGTCTGTTACATTTCCTCTCATCTATAAGTTTCCTCATTGTAGATCATACCCCTTGTGAACAAGTTGGTAAGATAAGAGCCAGTCTCTAAGTTACCTTACAAGTTACCTCACTTTAGAATGCATACAAATAGGACTCTACACATCAGTTGCCCAAGTAGCTATCTTCCAATTTTCCTGACACAGCAAATGAGTGCCTCCTATTCTTCATTAATTTATTGAAATATTTCAATTAGTATTCCTCCAATTCCTAGTGCCTTACTTAATGATATTCTTGATGTCATTCCATAGCTCATCAGTTCTTCTGTGTGGTTGGTACATAAATTTGAATACTAGTTGTATTAATTGGATTTTCTTGAGTGCGTCTAGACATAACCCTATTCCAGATAGTATTGTTCTTCCAGATAGATCCTGAAATGTCCCCCCTTTTCCCCCAAACCATTTTACTGGGAGCTAATATAGATATCATATAATTCCATTGCTCCATCACATAAAGCAGTATTGCAAAATTGCTACCACAATCAATTTCAAAGCATTATCTTCATTCTTGAAATCCTTGATATTATTAGTTCTTTACCCACCCCAACTGTACCACCCAAGAAGCCTTATTCTACTTGCTATTATATAGATTTATCAATCCTGGGTTTCATATACCGAAGAACAACAAAAAAAACACACATAACAAAAATTCAAAGGGTTACACTTAATGACAAAATACATCTGAGACAAACCCCAATAATGGTGGGGAGGAGGGAACCACACACACAGAGAAAGTGTTGAAAACAAGGTAGGGCCAAATTTGCATCAGAGGGAAGACAAAGTGGCAAAGTTTTAACCATTCAAGTCAGATTCATCATTTTGATCCCCTGTGGTCATCTCTCCTACGCCCTCTGTTTGATAACTCATTTGCTCCTGTCTATTACGGACAGAGAGAAGTCCCCGGACTGTGTAGATCTCACAAATGCAGCTTGGGCTCCCACTGTCATCAACGGTCTTTTTAAAATCAGATTCTCACAATTTAGGATCTGATACTATTCCCTGCTTCTTTTGGGGATTATATGATTCACAATTCTTTGGTGATTGATGATGGTGTGTTTCTCCCATGTGGACTTAGTTTATACTTCTCATTTGGAGACAAACCTTTAAGACCCCAGATGCTATTTTACCTAATAGCCAGACACCATCTAATTTTTTCACCCCACTTTGTTATAGCACCCATATCTTCTCTTTTCCCTTCCTCAGAGCGAGTATTGAGCAGGGCCATGATATAAGGACTAAGTGTTTTTAAATTGGACCCAGGATTTAGTGCGAGTCGAAACCCATTCCTGGATCTGTCTTTTATTCAAATCTTCCTTTGATTCCTTTTTTATGACAAATGCATTCCTCTTAATTGTTTTATTCCAATCTATGCTGCCATATGATTTTCTGATTCAAAATGTCATTATCAAAAAAGATGTTACTTTGGTAACATTTGAACATAAACTATTTGAATATAAAGTATTTAGTAATAGTAATGTGTCAAATTCCTAAATGTTACTATCATTATCTGCTAGAATGTTATGTGGCTTCTGTGTTGGAAGGTTCTGTTTTCACAAAATATATTAAAGTATTTGGAAATTGTAAACATGATCAATACTAGTCGATTTCACTTCACTAATGCCTAGAATGCCAATTTCGATGCACTCCATATCATTTTCTATAACTTCCCATTTTTTTAGATGCATACTTCCTATATTACAACTTCCAATTATTAATTGATGTTTGCAGCTGTTGCTTTTCATTTTGAGTTGTGCCCTATCAGCAGATATAGATCCCAAACCCTTTACTCCTACTGGCTTTACTCCACCCAGGTCCTTATGGTCCATTGTATTTTGGGAAAGCAGCTCTTCCTCAGTCATACCCTGAGGACCTTCTGACCCGAGGGACTCATCTTCGGGCACGATCTCAAACATCGGTCTGATCTTTTGCGTGAGGTTTTCAGAATCTGACAATGCTTTGGTTCTACCTCTAAAATGTTTCCATGTATAGTTTCTCAGAAATTAGCCTATTCCTGGACAGCCTGTTTCTTCCTTGTGGTCTGTTCTTACTCTTGAAGCTCTACTTAAATCTGTCCACTCTGGGTGAACTTATTGGCATTTGAATATAGTGACATAGTTTCCAGCATCACAGCAACACACAA